GTCAAAGTAAATATTTTGTCAAAATTTTATGAAAATTAAACGAGCAAAATTAATTTCAGTCAAGGTGTTTGGAACCACCTTAAAACGGATGACGTTACGCTTATTTCGACGTTTTTTGGTATTTGTTCATCTAGAACACTACTTTGAATAATGTATACCGTAAAAATGAAGTCGGTAACCCTATTACTATTTTACATCAATTAAATGGGAATTTTTGTATCAACAACATACAATTTTTAAAGAAAAATCTATTGATTTCAAATTGGAGATTTGATGATTTTAGGATAAATTTAAGAACTTTTTCGCCGATTTTCTGTGCTTTCTATACAAATATTCACATATTTAAAAAATATTCAATCAGTAATATTTAAGATAATAAAAGGATAATTAAATGCATTGTTTTTTTCGATTTATAGTTATGGTTCAAAGATCAAACGTTATATGCCAAATTTTACTAAAATCTGTGACAAAGCCCATTTAATGTAACTTGACCCTAAGGCCTATCCATTTTACCTTCTAAGGTAACTAACTAATATTTTCCAATTTCCGCTTTAAAACAACATTTTGCTGTAAATTGCTTGTCAAATTTCATAATCAATACGCCGTTTTATTTGTGATTTTTTTTTTTTCTCTTTACGATAGTATTAATTGTTTTAACTTTTATGTTAACCCTTACCAGCAATACAAAAGATTTAGGCCAAACCAAATTAATATCTTGTTCTTTGGACTCTTTCCTTTGAAAAAGGGTAGCGAGAGAGCGAAATTTTTTCATTTGGGTTTTTTTTTTTCGAAATTTGTTTTTGACAGGCGAAAGAATTTTTTTACTAGCGAGCGGTATTATTTTTGAATTTTTTTTTTTAAATCTATGAAAAGAATTTTAAGCAAGCGAACGATTAGAAATTTACATAGTTTTGGTGCTTGATATTTTATATGTCTCATATCCTAGTTCTTATATTACTCTTCTTTGCTGCTTAATTTGTTCCCTGACACGTAGTTTAATCTTTTCACAACATTTCCAAGTATAAAATGGTTAACTTGAAGCAAAACCTACAACTTTGTGTAGTCTGATCAAATAAATATGATCCTGCTGAACATGAAAAAGTGCAACAGCTTTGAACAGGCATGCATCCATGTTTAATGTAAGTTAAAATTGATGCATAGTATGTTGTTTTAAATGAACATATGCAAAACATAAATGCATGTATAAAGCTTGTAAATTCAACCATAAATATTTGTGCGTACAACAAGCAGACAATTAATAAAGGACTGTCCTTCAAAAACCACACCAATTTATACCATTCAAATGAACCAGTCAGATGCTATATACTAACTAAACAAAAGGAACATTTCAATACATTCCGCTTAAGTCATTGCTTTCCTGTAGAATTTAATGACAATCAAATTTATATATCTATGCATGTGGATATTGCTCTGTGCTGGTGGCCATACCGTTAACTAGTTGCAAACCTCAACAAATTTGGTCTCTGGTGGAAGGTTGTCTCATTGACAAGCATACATATTCTTATTTTTAGAAGATTCTGTAAATTGTAAAGATGGATTAATGTGTTAAATTCAATTACCACATAAACATTCTTGTCAAATTCCATGCTTTTAACTAGTATACATAATTGTTTAGGGGTAAGCTGAAGCGAGCCTCTGGGTGCGGGATTTTCATGCTGTGTTTAAGACCCATTTGTGGTCTTGGGCTGTTTTCTGCTATTTGGTTGGGTTGCTGTCTCTTTGACACATTCCCCATTTCTAGACTATTCTCAATTTCATTTTAATTTTAAAAAAATTCAAGGAAAAACCTTTATTCTAAAACAGATAAAAAAAAGAGTAAACAATATAATAGTTTCATTTGCGGTGCCATTTCAATTCAATGTACCATCAGCTTAGGGATTCTCTTTTATTCTTATGCATATCATATTGTCATAATTTAAATCTTTGAATTGGTGGCTTCGTTGCTTTGTCGTTTGATCTTGATAGGTATACGGTGAATCATGCAAGGATATTACTACACTGCGCGTGAGTCAAGTAACTCACTTAAGTGGGACTCCCCTTACAATACCACTGAAAGTTTTAGCTGGTTCTTCTGCTGTTTGAATCTTGGTGAAAATATCCGGTGGTAGTAGGTTCCAATCTTTAATTGTGTTTGGTATGAAGCAGAATTTTGATTTGTCTGGTTTTGTTTGCAGTTGATCAGATGGTTAATTGGCTAATTTACCGTGTATGCCTTTGCAGAAGAGGATATTATCTGTTTTGGGTTCGACAATATTAAAGGGATGGTAGTTGCAGCTGGTCTAAAAATTGCTGTCATATTTCCTGTGTCGTAGTTTGATGTTATGAACGTTTGTGCATGTTCATGATCATGATGTCAACGTAGATACAAGTATCTTGTCTTAAGGAGGGATAAATCCTACTTTGTAAAAAATCACTCTGATTCAAACAAAAAATTCTCTGAAACTGACATTATCAAGATGCTTGATTTCTTGATTGACAACATATTTGTTACGTTTGGAGGACGTGTTTTTCAACAAACTATCGGCATTCCTATGGGAACCAACTTTGCCCCTCTTCTTGTCGACTTGTTCCTTTATTCTTATGAGGCTTACTTCATACAGGAACTTCTTAGGAAGAAAGAAAAACAGTTAGCAGTATTCTTTAACTTTACTTTCCGCTATATAGATGATGTTCTCTCACTAAATAATTCAAAATTTGGTGATCATGTTGAACGCATCTATCCCATCGAACTAGAGATAAAGGATACAACAGATACAGTTAAGTCTGCCTCATATCTTGACTTACAACAAAATTATTTTCATTTACCTGTGTATAATTTGACGCAGGTTTTTTTCAAAAGTGATGATTTTCTAAATATTGTTTAACATTTCACAGTGGTATCATACTTTAACTTTGTTTAAACCTGTTAATTACTTTTGACCTTAATTATTTATCCCTTATAATTTTTATTAACTATATATTTGCATTCAGGTATCACAGATCAAATTTTTTCGTTCATTGTGTGTTAATTTGCGTTTTTTGATTGAGTTAAGCCTTCTAATTGATATTTTATAGTATGTCTTTCTATGTTGTGATGTTATACTATTGTTTCAGAAAAGGGAGAAGGTTTGGTACCATTAAAACGTTTAATCCCGCTGCAAATGTTTGCACCTGTCCTAAGTCAGGAATCTGATGTACAGTAGTTGTCTTCTTTTTATGTAGTTCATACGTGTTTCTCGTTTCTCGTTTTTATAAAGATTAGACCGCTGGTTTTCCCGTTTGAATGGTTTTACACTAGTAATTTTTGGGGCCCTTTATAGCTTGCTGTTCGGTGTGAGCCAAGGCTCCGTGTTGAAGGCCGTACCTTGACCTATAATGGTTTACTTTTATAAATTGTTACTTGGATGGAGAGTTGTCTCACTGGCACTCATACCACATCTTCCTATATCTATTTACATCTAGAAATTGACAATGAGGGTCGGTTGAAAACAAAACTATACGACAAAAGAGATGATTTCAGCTTCCCAATTGTGAACTTTCCATTTCTATGTAGCATCATTCCAGCAGCGCCTGCATACGGAGTATATATCTCCCAATTGATACGATATTCCAGGGCTTGTATTTCCTATCATGATTTTCTTGATAGAGGGTTGCTGCTCACTAGGAAGCTATTAAACCAAGAGTTCCAAGGTGAAGTTGAAATCGTCCCTTCGTAAATTTTACGGACACCATCGCGAGTTGGTTGACCGTTATGGAATATCCGTTTAACAGATGATAGCGTATATGTTCCTAATGTCGTAACTACAATCCCGTTCCCTTTTCACGAATGTGACCTACCGAATTGGACCATTTACCGGGTTTGTACTAACATGAGCAACACGGCGGGTGCCATATGTGGAGCAGGATCTGCTTACCCTTCCGGAGCACCTGAGATCACCCCAGTTTTTGATGGGGTTCGTGTTGCTTAGTCTTTAGTTTTCTATGTTGTGTTTTGTGTACTATTGTTTGTCTGTTTGTCTTTTTTCTTTTTTAGCCATGGCGTTGTCAGTTTATTTTCGATTTATGAGTTTGAATGTCCCTCTGGTATCTTTCGCCCCTCTTTTTGTGGTCTTGCACGGAGCACTTCCAACAAATCGGTAAAAGAATTGCCCAAATCATATTCTACTGATGTGTTTGCCTGCGTTACCACTGTTACTACAAATTGTCCACTCATGTATTAATGCTTATCATACTAAATTTGGCAATGCATAATTGTAACAACAACGTTTTGAATGTTAGATCTAGATCGTTTTACTCCCACAGGCAAAGTTGACCTTAGATGGATTTGGCTATTTTTAGGTCCTTTTTGGTTTATAGCTCTTCGACGTTTTCGGTCCTTGTACATCCTCGGCTTTCAAATATTCGGCTTTGAGCGTTCCTGATGAAGGTAAATCCAGAAAAGCGCTTCAGACGCATGAAATTTATATCGTTTTGTTTTCATTTTTTAATGTTAATTTCCGTGTCTGTATGGTGTTACTTTCAAACGCACAACTGATTAAAATTTTTGTTTCATAAATTTAGAGACTGGACGCGTTTTTTTATAAAAAGTACTTTTTCTGGTCGACCTTTCACAACACGCGGGGAATCCGACGAACGAGGTAATAATTTGGCGTGGCCTTAACAAAAGATTTTTCCTTTGATCTGTTTTCAGATCAATATTAGAACAATTATAAAATGTATGGCGCTTCAACACATTAAACAAATTAATATTGTATTACACTACCCAAAATTTATTTTATATGTTTTAAACTAGCTATTTTTTTGGATCACTAGTTGAAACAAATAACGTTACTGACATGTTTGTTATACGAGTGATTGAATAACGTGTTTGCTATATGAGTGTGTTGCATCTTTGCTATAAATATGAGTGAACTATTTTGTGATGGAATTAGTCAGTTATAATATTTTCAAATTTTACCGCCTGATAACATTCGTTTGACGCTAAAAAGGTAAATATGTCGTGGCTTGCATCACGAAAGGCCGATAATTTTGGATAGTAACGTTAACTGCCAGACACAGAGGTATGACTTTATTATCAGTACTTGAAATTTGAATGTAACAATAACTGACGAAAACTTAACAAATATCAAAATAGTTTAAACTGCAAAATATCAATAAATAGACTTTATACAAAATACATTAATCTGTAATAAGCTTCCTTGTTATAATAAATTATTTGTTTATCATAGTTACTCGCTTACATTGATGAATGCTTTTTTGAATAATTCTTTATTGTCATATACTTGAGGGTCTGGACGGGGTTTACAGAATAGAGTATATAAAAAATACGGGAAAATAGGCTAAAACAAAATAAAGAATATAGAATAATAGGGTGCTTATATACAAGTATAAAGAATAGAGAATAATGGACAAAATAAAAACAGGATGGAGAAAAATGGTCTAGAGAAATAAAAAATAAAGAAATAATGAAGGACCCCCATCTAGACCCTTATATACGTAAACACAATACTTCTGACAAATTTTATACAACGTTCAGCAAGGTAATTTAACCAACAAATGAGGCTGAGAAATCGTTGTTTTTTAATGTGCCTGAAAGCTCATTCAAATTGAAGCCATGTTAATGGTAGCTTCGTTGCCTACAGTGCAATTGTTGTCCTATCTAATCATGTTTTTATACATGAAAGACTGAAAAATGTTAGAGAATTAATTAGAGAATCCTTCTATTGCTCGAGAAATACAACACTGCATGCCTTACTTGATGCTTTAATTTTAGATTTTTTTTATGTTCTATAACTCTAAGGTAAAATCAAAAGTGGAAGTCCATAAAATCTACAAAATCCAACTTTATCAACCAACAAAACGATTGGAAAACAGCTGTCATATTCCTGACTTGGATCAAGCCTTTGCCGAAGAAAATGGTGAGCTAAATCTGATTTTATAGCTAGCTAAACCTCCCACTTGTACGGCAGTTGTACATATAGTTCCGTTATCATTGACAACATTGGGTGAATGACCCAAACAGACATAATAGGTTAACTTTATAGATAAAGGACTCAACATAATACATTTTGAACAAAAGGAATATCTACATTCAGGTTTGATATCTCAACGCATTGATTTAGTGACTAGTTCACATCACCAAAAAAAAAAATAACAATAAAATGTATCCACGAAATTAAACCAAATTGTGTCAGGAAGACAGCCTAATATAAATTTAAACTCATGGCAATAGTAAACAATTTTACAACATTATGTTTCTTCGTAGGTTTCGTCTCAGTAAATATCGGATTTGATTATTAAACTCAACATTTTTTGTAATTAAAGACATTTATATATATTTCTATCAGAGCCAAAAAATTGAAAAATTACTTGTCACCATGAAGCCTTCAGTCCCGCCCTCTCTTCCTCGATTGGAACATTACTCGAATGCGATGTATCGCCGATTTTTTACTTGCACGATAACAGATCCAGCAGTCGAGTAGGGAATGCTTACACTTCTGGAGTACCTGAGTTCACCATCGGTTTTGGTGGGGATTGTGTTGATCAATCTCAAGTTTTCTATGTTGTGTGTTCTGAACTGTTGTTTGTCTTCGCATCGTGTTTATCTTTGGTCCTTTATTCTACTTTTGGTATTTAATTGTCCCCTCGGTATATTCTCCTTCTTTTTTATTCTTAAAAAATTAGCAAACCCTACACCGTATAGTAAGATATAAAAAGCAACACTGGAATTGGACAATGGAAAACAATTCCAAAGAGAAAGTAAAAAACTAACTGTCTAATTTATACTACAACCATGAACGAAATAAAATTATGGTAGACAGCAACCAATAACCACCACTGGATTAAAGGCACATGCACAATACGAATTTATTTTAAAGTGTTTATATTTGCTTATATTCTCTCTAACAAGGATCAGCGGAAAAAAATACAATTAAGAACAAACTGTAGAGTGGGAAAGGGCTTATGATCATTAGTAAGGACGCCAAAAAAAATAAAAAAGTTGATGAAAGAGTAATCGCTGTTACTGAAAGCTAGTTGAAAACCTTATTTAGCTAAAATAAATAACCCAGTTAGCCAAGACTACAATATGGATGAGTACATTTCCATTGGAATAATTGTAAAGACGAAGTAAGGATTCTGTGACTGGTGATATCCTCGGGGACGAAACGTTCACAAGTAGTGGTATCGACCTAGTGGTTGTAAAAACTCATAAAAACAGACTTCTCATATTTATCTACCTGTGTTCTTCAAAAATGGAGACAGAGAAAAACATGAGTTTCTCTAAAAAAAAATCAACCATTTTGGAAACTCATATCGTTTTTGGAATTACATTACCTTGCCTTTTGCAAAAACGATAATACATTTATAGTTAAATTCCATAATAATTGAAGACAGTTATGATCAAACGAAATAATTAGGAAATTCAGATACAGGGTTTATATCTATATAGTTTTTCCTTTTCAGTTTTATCTTTATTTTTTTTTTATGTGAAATAGAATTAAGAATGGAAACGGGGAATGTGTCAAACAGACAACAACCCGACCAAAGAGCAGAAAACATCCCAATCCCACAAATAGGTCTTCAACGCAGCGAGAAAATCCCGCACTCGGAGGCGGGCTTCAGCTGGCCCCTAAACAATAACGTATACTAGTTCAGCGAAATGGACATCACACTTAACTCCGAAACATATAAATGAACCAAAATTAAAAAAAAACACACAAGACTAACAAAGGCTAGAGGTTCCTGACTTGGGACAGGCGCATAAATGCGGCGGGGTTAAAAATGTTTTGTGAGATCTCAACCCTCCCCTTATGTGTTGAATCAAATGCAAACGTCGAGGTCAAATTAGATTACAAGCCGTTTTTGTTTAAAAGAAATTAAAGTTGATTTAATTGTATAAAATGAGTAGAGAAAAAAATCTTCAAAACAAACTTTCCAGTTATCCAATAGAAAAATAACGTATAAAATTTTGATTTGCTACCGTACCAACCGTAGCACGAACCGGGAGCCTTCATTAAACTTTTTAAAATAATTGATGTATTCACTTAATGTCAACGTATGTTTTATGAATCATAATCAAAAGCATTTGCAGCATTTTTAGCTATAACTTGGATTTAATTACACGTGGATATTTTTCGTATATATAGCAAACAATATTGTGTGTACTCGATTATGCTTTCGAGCAACCGTTGCAAAGAACCGCAGCACAAACGGTTTGTAATTTTTGCAGTTAAGATTTATTTCCCCTGAAATTTCAACCGCAAAACCAAGCTAAGATATAAAGCACATTTATAATCTATCTGATTTTCACATGTTATATTATTATAACAGTATGAAATAAAAAAGTTCAGATTTTTTTAGGTAAGCTTATAGAAAACTTAAACAAAAATGGGCCAATTTAAGATACAAAATTAACCTCATTAACAATATATTAATGATGAAATAAAAATAAAACCATGGTCGCTCACGCAGATATCGACCGAGCAAGTGTCTCTAAAATTAATAGAAATATATAATATGGGTGATCAACATTTGTTAATAATCCGTTTCTTAATTACATTTTTTTTAAATATTGTCACTTATTTACGTAGTTCATTTATTATCTTTACCATTCTTACATTTTTCTTTATGTTCACGAAAATCGTCTTTCACATGTAGGAGAAATTTGACCAATAATGAAAGTACAACGAAAGGGTCAAATTAGAAGATACGATAATAAACTATATCAAGAACACGAGTGTCAGTGCAATTTACTATAACTATATCATGCCAGTTGTTCTAGTTGGTGTTTTTTTTTCAATGATTGAATTCTAGACATTGGTGGGATATTTTTTTATCGGCAATAGAGATGTAGATATTTATTTTTCAATATTTTTCAGTTACTTTTCAGAATGCATTTTTAGAAAAAAAAATTGTCAGTTGTTGATAAAACAAAATGAGAAGGGTGTCCTTTTCTCACTCAATATGAAATCAAAGCTGTTTCATCTGTTCAAGAAAAACATATTCTGCTGTAATGATTGAAATAGTTAAATAATAATAAATTATTCTAAAATCATGCAAGAACTAATGAAAAATCAACACAATTTTGTCATTTTAACGTATATAACTAACATCAGTAACACGACGTGTTTACGAAAGTCGTTCATAGATAGTATTTTAATTATTCCAACTTCTGTTTAAACATGAGAAAAATTAATATTCTTTTATTTTATTTTCTCTATATATAATATAAACGCAACAAAAACAATACCTAAAACAAACAGAAACGCAAATATGTATAAGATCTAAAGGCCGAGTCAACTCAGTTCGTGTAGGGTCTGTTTGATTCATGCACTTGTGCACTAACTAAATAATCTCATATACAGATTTACAAACACAGTGTTTTAGAAACGGTGAAATTGTTATCAAATAAAAAGTTACGGTAGTTTTTGCTGATATGCAATTCGATGTCTTTAATTTTATCATGATGGATAAAATAATCTCCTGCATTAAATGATACCTCCAAAACAACACTAACCGTTGAGTTACGTACCAACCGTACCCGATACGTAGCAAATCGGGAAACCTCTAATAAGCGAATACTGCACCATGAGCATGATACACATGTCCACAGAAATCGTTATAAAACGTATTGAGAGGTCTTTGCAAACAAATTGTGTTTTCTTTTACCAACCAAGTGAAGTCTGATATGACTCAACAATGATTGAATGCTTCTCGAGTAAGTGAAGTCCATGAAAACTCTCCATATTTTATGACTAAAGTCCTACAATTTCGGATTGACAAAATTGAAAATCATCAAAGTGTTCACAGACTGTCAGACCATAATTTCTGAGGACAACGTGGAAAATTGCAACAAAGTAACACACTCTTGTGGCCACTACTCTTAACAATTTAGAAACGTCTGAAATAAATCGCGCACGGAATACTAGAGTTATTTGCTTAGTTTTTAAGAATAAATTTCCATTACTCTGGAAGGACAAAAATTGAAATCAACAAAATAAGTACAGACCCTCTGAACCTCATTGTTAATAATTTGGATATGATTTTCTTAAGTTTAAGTTAATCGCTTTCCATACTCGAGTTAGTACGCGACGTATAAAAACACTTATTTTTCGAAGACTTAGTAATACGTCCCATCTCTCTATAACGACAAACACGACATCCTCTTAATTTAAGCAGCTACTCAGACTATAATTCCTACTTAATAAATAAATTTTGAATTTAATCAGTCAAGGCATAATTGAATTGCCATGTTTACACAAGACACCGATATTTTCAAATACGTTCGTCATTGACTGACGTACAATATATATTTTTTATTTCCAGAAAACAAATATCTTCCTTTTTTATTGAATTTTATGATAGACTATGGCATCAAATTCAGCAATACATTGTGGTCCATGTGGATATGAAGGCATTACAAAGAATGCAAAGAAGTGGTGCACCAACTGCGATGAGGGGTTTTGTGGAGACTGTGAGAAAAGCCATAGATCTTTAAAACTGACAAAAGATCATAGAATTATTGCCATTGATGACTACTTGAAAATTGAGGATTTTTCTGTTAACCTAACCTGCGTGACTCATGGAAAAAAACTTGATCTTTATTGCAAATATCATGGTGGTGCATTATGTGCAGTCTGTGTTAAATCTGCGCATAAAACTTGTCGAGCGGATGATATCATTTCAATAGACAATGTATCTAAAAATGCAAAAGGTTCAACAGCACTTGCAGATTTAGAAGAGACAATATCTAAAACATTAGAAAACGTAAAGCAGTGCATAAGAGATCGGGTGTCAGCCTCAGCAAAACTCGATATTGATGAACAAACAATTAAAAAGAGGATTTTAGAAACAAAACTTAAGCTCAACAGACATTTAGATGGACTCGAAGAAAAACTTCTTCACGATCTCATAATGAACCATGAAAAGTATAAGGCAATACACAGTACATTATTAAAAAAGTTAGAACAGACAGAGAAAGAGTTTAATAAATTAAAGGAACAAACACAACGAATGAAACTGTTTGCATCCGACCTTCAAGTGTTCCTAGGAACATGTCAAATGAACAAAACCACTATGGACAAAACTAAATTACTCAAAGTTGAAATAGGTAAAGAAAGGAGTTATGCCATGGATATGAAATTACATCGTGTGATCAGTTCACTAATGAATGACGTCAAGCAGTTTGGCGAAATACACATCACTGAAACAAGTGCCGATCTTCAGTTACAAGACGCAAATGTTGACCAAGCTCAAATGCAAGTGCGAGGGTCAAGGCAAGATACCCATTATGTTGAGCTTCAATTAAAACGAAAATTTGATATTAAACTGCAGGACCAAAGCCCAGGATGCCTCTTATTGTCTGATGGAAGAACTTTGATTGCAGATTTCTGGGGTTCAGGAAAACTGCTGGAGTACAATGAGAAAGGAAAATATATCCGTGACGTCCATATCTTTGATAAGCCATACGATCTAACAGAAATAGATACAGACCGTATCGCTGTAACATATCCAGATGTGAAACGTTTGGATATTATGACTATCAAGAAAGGTACTGATGGAAGGAAGATATTATGTGAAAAAACGTGCTTCGGGATATCTTACTGTAATGGAAAAATATTCACAGTAGTAAAAGAACTTGGGATACTGATACTAAACTTAACTGGACGTATCTTGAATAAAATCAAGATCAACAATTCTGATGTGTTTTATGTAGCAGCTACCGAGGACAAGATATACTACACTGACGGTAACTTGAATACAGTAAACTGTTGTAATTCTGAAGGCCAAACAATTTGGACATTCAAAAATAAATCGGTAATGTGCTCATCAGGTATAACTGTAGATAATAATCAGAATGTTTATGTTGCAGGTAGTCTTTCAAACAATCTGACACTTATACTGCAAAACGGAGAAGATAGTAAGGAGATGTTAAATGCTAGTGACAACATAAGTGCACCGTTAACTGTATGCTACAACAAGAATAAGAATTTACTTCTATTTGGCTACAAAATAGGAAATATGGCATTGTATCATGTGTCGTAAGAGCAAATATGTGTACTTGTAACTCTAGCAAATTTTGTTATTCGCGTATTTGAATGTCATCGATGATTTTTATTTATCGTTTGTTATTCAAAATAAATAAATGAGATTTTGTAGCATTTTTCGAGAAGAAAATATGATATAAAAATGTTTCATATCAGCTGGTTTTAAAACTATTTTCAGTTTGTTTTTCTTTCTAAAATTTATTTTATCTGTCTATAAGTAGTCCAGGAAAATTTTCTTCAATCAATATTTCGTATTTAGTTATTCTCGTTAGTTTACATCGCTTGTGAAACTAATGTATGCATCAAATGTAGTTGAGTTCAGGTTTTTTTGGTGTTATGTTACAAATGTTGTAGTTGAACGATCTCTTATGTTCCCAATATTTGTTAAATAAAATATTCTGTAATGTTTTGTGAAAACGAAATTTTAAACTATCACTTTTATATGTTTATATGGTTCTCAAACCATAATAAACCGTAGTTTTGCTATTTCAAGAGCAATGTAATACATTCATACTATTTTCATTTTGAGTTGGGCGTGCATCGTTGTTCAAGATATCGCAATCACGGAATAAAGTTTAATATGTACCCTTCAATAAAATTTATAAATTGTTTCTTCTTGACAAATGCTTTACTAAAAACTAGTACATAGTATGCATGTATAGACACATGTTTTTTTTATATAAATGAATCGATTTGTTGTCGTTTGCATGTTTATGCAGTTTCATTATGTGACCATTATCCTAAAATTCAAGAGGTCAACATCAAGAGAAAAAAATCATTATGAATTTAATTGGAAAACGAACATGTGAAGCCTATCAAATTTATATTATGCTAATTTTAACATCACAGTCTGTGTTAAAAATTCAAAAGCATATATTGTATCTAAGATGTCTATCAACATTGATCAATGAAACCTTTAGAAATCAATGTAAAATCGAATGATATCGAGTCTATAGTTTTCATTGAATTGCTCTGTAAACTATCGTTTGTCTTTTCTTCGTTTTTCGTTATGGTCCTGTTGGTTATTTTTTTCGATCTATATGTTTTTATTGTCTTTCTTGTATCATCTGCCTCTTTTTAATTGTAATTCAAAATATTTCATGACCTTTTAGTTTAAGAAAAACTTTTTGAAACATCAAAGGCGATCAAACAGAGATGGTGACTTTTCTTTATATCATCAAAGATACCAAGTTCAATTAGGTAAGTCACACGCGCAGTTCGTCTGCAATATATAATTAAAAAAATGCGTGCTTATGATACGCTTTGCTGTATTTACCTTCATCAGGAGCGCTCAAACCTGAACATTTGATAGCCAGTGATGTAAAGTAAGTAGGCAATTTAAAAGAAACGTAATCAAAATGGACAAAAAACACAAATAGCCAAATTCATATGTGCGCAACTATGCGGATGCATGAAATTATATAACGTGTTGTTTTCATTTTTTTTGCCTGAGGGAGTTGAAACATTAGTTTTAGATAATTTCTTTATTTATCACCTTGGGATTTTTATAACTGTATATTACAAATCATGTCAGGACCGAAGCACTGACAAATAGGCTGATTGAAGGTTGGCGCCTGTTAAAACGTTTAAACCCGTTGCATTTTATGCACTTGCCCTAAGTCAGGAACCTGTTGTTCAGTGGTTGTCGTTTGTTGGTGTGGTTCATAGGTGTTTCTCGTTTCTCATTTTTTATATAGATTAGACCGTTGGTTTTCCTGTTTGATTTGTTTTACACTAGTCATTTTGGGGCCCTTTATAGCTTGCTGTTCGGTGTTAGCCAAGGCTCTCTTATTTATATTGATGATATCATTGTGGACTTAAAGACCACTATCATAAAGCTTGAACATATACCATCAACACCGACATTATTAAATTCTCCAAATATTAAAAGCATCTACTAAGTTCCTGTCTTATGAAAGGCTCTACATAGATAACACATATCTGAGAAGGGTACATCTTTTGATTTGTGTAAAATTAAGATTCAAATAAGTTTCCGAGTTTGACCATACGAGTACCACATATACAGAAAATATTGATCATACGTCCTTATCTCCATATCCACCAAGCAAGTGTTTCAAGTGGTAGTCAAACTGACTTTTCTACAGTAAAGAACGTATTTATTTTTGTCGCCCGCGTAACGTGTTGCGGGGGATATGGAAATACCGGGCGTCCGTTCGTCCGTCCGTGTGTCCGTCCGCTCTCACAGGTACAATTCTTGCCAGATTTTTATAAAACTTATACTATAGGTTAATATCAGCAATATCTCGGACAAGTTCTATAATGGTGGACGATCGACATTTTTAAAGGAGTTTTAACCCTTTGAAATATTAAATTTATTGAAAATAGCCTCGTTTGCGCTCTCAAGCATACAATTTTTTATAAAACTTATAGTATACATTAAGTAGTACCCTTGAAAGTCTGTTTGAAATATTTAGAATACAATAAAAATATTTTTTTGTCCCCCGCGCACACTTTTTATTTATAAATTGTTTTAAAAAAGGCAAAGTTATTGCCCCGGGATAGATAAAATATGTGCAACGCGGGGGACATTGGAACTCTGTTCTTTTATACTAATTATTCAAATACACAATGAATTTATAAGAAATTGTGTTTGCTGGACAAAAAACAAACTACGATTAATCCGTCAATGTATTTAATTTGGTATTGATTTAAATGTGCTGTTAATTTGTCGTTAGATTTGATTTTACACAGAACATGAGAAGAATATACCTTACTACATGTATAGCTTTGTAGAACATTGACAAGTAGTGGGGTTTTATTTTAGAAAATGTGTGCATATATATATAATTGATCATAACTGAAAAAAAACTTATTATTTTAGTGGTTATCACATTGTAAAATATAACAGTCTTGATTGTTTATCCACAATATAATCAAGATTTAACAGAAGAATTAAGTATTCTACAAGAGTAAAATGTTAAAGATAGGCGTAAGATACCAAAGGAACATTCAAACTCATAAATCGTAAATAGACTGACAACACAATGGCAAAAAAAAAAGACAAAAGAAAAACAACTGTACACAAAACATAACATAGAAAACTACTAAGGATTGAGCAACACGAACCCCACTACCTTTGAAAGGTAAAACCCTACACAAAAAGATCCCCGTTTTAAAGTTGTTTGATCTACTCAGGCTGTTATTGTGTCAAACTGAAGTTATGCAAACGGCAAAAAAACAGAGTCTATGACAATGTCAACAATTACAAATTTTGCAAATCTCTTGTCAACCCGGTCCCAAAAGAGCTTCAACATCTAGTAAAAAAGGATTTATTCTCTTCTCATTTTATTAAGGTATAGTATATGTACAATGATGTTGCATATTAGTATGAAGACAACAAGGTATTTTTGGAAAAGAATTTTAACTAAATTTTTCACAATCATGTTCACATGTTAATACGATATAAATATACATTGTGTACTAGACCAACACTCTTGGTTTGGGATCTCAAAGTGCTTGATCAAAAGTTAAGTCCAATTGGCAGTCATATATCATCACAATACTCAAGTACATTTTTAATCCGTGCCGAACATATATGTAAATAGTTTCATTATTGTTAAACATTTTAAATCTCAGGTAAAGTGTCTAAACCAGAATACTAGTTATATTCTTTCTTTTTAGTACACAAATAATCCCCTTTCTATATTAAAGAGATAAGAGGACGATCATTTCATTTCCGGGGAGGGGGATTCCGCATGCGAAGCAACCTATGCCATGAATGGTCAATCCACAAAACAATCTTTCAGCCCAACCCCCATAATATCAATTAGTTGTCACTTTTTCCCATTTCAACACTCTGATCTAATTTATAAAAGTCCATTGCCACCTATTATTCTTAAACTTAAAATTCGATTGTACCACGCACAGAATTTATTACACTACACAAAATTCTTAGTTTCTTTGATGTTTCAAAATCGTTACGTTTTGCCATTCAACCGCAAACTTATTTACTGATATAGCAAACATGCAAACCAAACCATTTTTATATTTATTCTGTTTTCAAGATGTCTTATTACAATGGCGGACAAGATAGAAGGTGCGAATGTCGATCATGAAAAATTATAGTTTACTAAGTAACCAAGAAAGAGTTTTGATATAGGAATGTGTGCTATTACTAAAAATTTTTGACATAAATGGTTTAATTCTATTCAATAAAGCAAGTATGTACAACAGAGACAAGTAATTAAGATATTGTTATACTCTGAAAATTGACCATTGTTTACCATTATAAAAAAAAAACATATCCAACTATAGCAGTCATTACGTGACATTGGCGACGTCACACATCACCCGTATCATGCCCAAGTAAAATGTATAGAAATGCACAGGGGCTTTCAGGAATCGATAAAATAAATTACTTTAAGTTCATGATAAAAAAAGTGTGGAAATATATAGTAATTCCTCATATATTTAGAAATATATTTATGCCTTTTGGAAAAGTTTAAATTTTGGTCTTCTCCCTTCCAAATGCTTTTGAAAATTTGTCTTGTTGCCTCGATAATTCACACTGTTAAATCATCCAACTCCGATAAATATTGGATTTTCTGTTGTGTTAAACCTAAAATTGCGATTTAAACAAAACAGATGGAAAAATTGTGGAAATATGTGCTTATTACTATATTCATAAATATTTGAAATATCGTACATGCAATAGTTTAATTTTTTATTACGTCCCTTCCAAATTGATTTGAAAATTAGCTATTTTCAGAAAATCGGGTATTATTTTTCAAGATGGCGACCACATTGACAGCGTGGGCCGACTTGGTAAAAATATATTTTGTAAGATTGTTACAATGAAAATCAAATAACTGTTGGATGCTCGCGTTTTCAGTCATTGTCTTACCTTAAAGCAGCATAGAATCAAACATTGGTTCCTTTTGATAAAGCTGATACATGCTGTTGTTTTTTTATAAAAAATTTAAAAAATGGCGACCAAATAATTTTCAAACGTAGACGATGTTCGACACTTATTTTGTCCATGCAAATAATTCAATTTAATTTCACTGTTTATATTGCAATTAAATATGACACGTTATTGTCACTATAATGATAGCTAAGGATATAGCTAGACTAAGGAGATATTAAGT